TTGGATGATTTACGGTATGAATATTTTCAGTTAAATAATATAAATTACTTTAAAAAATGAAAAAAGGTTAGAGATGGAGAATGGAGAAATTTTATTTTTTTTTTCTTTTAGATTTATTGATTAAAAAATTTAGAATAATTGAGGAAAAAAATGAAGGAAAAAAAATTTTCAGCAAAAAATATCCTGCATGTTGTTGAACAGCTTACAGAAGAACAAGAAGAAGATTCAGAAGGAAATACATGCAAATTTGCTAATAATATTACTGAAACAACTGATAATATTATTTGCAAACCATCAACTTCCAATTTATCCCAAAGTCAACAATCATCATTAGATCGAGCATCACAATCATCAGCTAACAGTTCACTCCAAATTCATCAACCACTGCCATTTACTGCGGAATCATTAGCTACATCTGCTCTAAATCATATCACCGTAAATTTGAATTGCTCGGAACGTAGCAGCACACCGGAATCGCGTACTCCGCAATCACCACTTTCCGTTGATTCTCAATCATCTCATACACCGCGCGGCAAATCTCCCATTGTACAATTTACATCATTTGGTACTGGTGAATTTCGAAGTCCATCGAAAATTCCATATTCGCTCGCATCCTTTCCAACTGGATTGAAAAATCGAAATGGTATAATAATCTGAATTCAAATATACAATTTGATAATTTTAAATGCTCAGTGAATATTTTAGTATCATTCTTTTTTTTTCTGATAATTCTTTTGTAAATTATTGTTTAGCAAAGTGAGAGATAGATAATCTGGTCAATGAATTCATTAAATTAAATGATGGCTTTTCAAAAAAGCATTCTTTTTTTGCCATATTGTAGCCATGTCATCTCTCGATTAAATGCTAGCTATGATAATTAAATTTTATGCAAATGGAATTATTGGATTTAAAATGAAGCTTTCAAATTTTTTGAGTGTTAATTTTGAATTTAAACAGTTTTCGCGATTTAGCTGTCTGAAAAAATAGAGCTAAGAAATATCTCTGCTAGTAGTACGCTTCATTTTCTTGCTTAGTTTAATGGAATCATTCAGTCTTATATAATTTTTGAATAACAACAACAACAACAAAAATCCGCCGGATAATTTTTGATTTTCAAGGAAAAAAAAAGCAAAATTTGGTTGTAGAGGATAACCTAAAAATCATAAAAAAAAAGAAGCGTAAGTGATCTTTGATCTACTGCTGTTAGACTTAAAAAATATTTTTAATTTGGATTAAAAAAATTTGAAATTGAAATATTACATTCAAATTTTATTCTGGATTTCAAAAATTCGTTTTAAAATTAATTTTTATCAATCTAAATATTCAGTGAGCATATTTTTCCATCTATTTTTTTCTTTGCTAAAAAGTGCAATTTGCAGAAGCTGGAAAGTTGACTTGTCCAACGCCAGGTTGTGATGGATCAGGCCATCAAACAGGCCTTTACACTCATCACCGAAGCCTTTCGGGTTGCCCACGACGACCAGATAAATCGACAATACAATGTGAGTCATTTATCTGATTTCGCAATATTTTGGAAATGTGATTGGTGTCGAGGAAAGAGAGAGAGAGAGAGAGAGAGAGAGAGATTCTTCAAATAAGCCTTCCTTTCTTCATTCCTTTTTTTTTTCGTGTTAAAAAAGAAAAAAAAAACACACCACCTCCCGGAAAAAAATAAAAAAAGCTCTTTTATATAAGATGAATTAGATTTCACGTACTAAAATAAAAATTTTAAATTTTTCATTTTTTTCTGCCTTCTTTTGTTAAAATGAGGAGAGAGAGAGAGAGAGAGAGAGAGGAGGGAGGGATGCTGTTTAATATTCAAATATAAATTTTTAAATTTATATGAAAAAATTCATGAGATAATAAAAAAATCACCGGTCATTTTTGTATGTATGTAATAACTGTCTGAACTTTTTTCTATTCTCTCCCTTCTTCTCCCTTCTTCTTCTTCTTCTTCTTCTTCTTCTTCTTCTTCTTC